GTCTCTACAAGGAACACCCAGGAATTTTCTTGGATGATGGAACTGTCAAACAATTTTTTAATAGTTGGATCATTATATGACTTAGGAGCTTGTCAAACCTCTACAAACTATATGCCATAAAGAATACATCTTATTATAACTAAATTATACTGCAGTATTCAAAAGAATCATTCTGTACATAACCTTCAGCTTGCTTTCTCTTCTCAATATAATTTTCTGTGCAGTATCTCTATTGTGTGGGTAGTGATAGTTGACTTTTTCTGCTGTATAATATAGTTTGGGGTAAGTATTTTGAATGTGTTCATCCATTCTATTGTGAAAGTATTTTGGAGCCATTTTTTAGTTTTTCTTTTTCTACAACACATCAATACTATTCTGACACTTCTTGGAACAGTCTTCGTTGTGCACTTGTTCTAGAATTTTTTTTGACATAGAGAACTAAGAGTAGAATTGCTGAGACTTTTTCTGTTCAACTTCATATAATAATCCAAGACATTTGATATTCAAGTGGTTTATTATCAAGTGGCCATTCCGATGTACACTTAGCTTAACATGTTCACTAATTACCAGAACATCAAATTCTCACCACACTAAACCTTTTTTGTGTGCGTGTGTGCCATTCCTGGGATTTGAACTCAGAGCTCAAGACTAGTGCTCTACCACTTGAGCCACAGTTTCAGTTCCAGCTTCTTTTGGTGGTTGAGATAAGCATCTCATGGACTTGGCCTCCTGTGTAGTTAGGCTTAGAGACGTGAACTACCAGGGTCCAGTCCTATTTTTTTGCGTGGTGGTAACTATGTAAATTGACATTCCTTTTTATGTATCACTTTTTCTTGTTATCACCTTTTTCTTTTTCCTCTTTCCCCTTTGTGCCTGTTTCCTGTTCAGTTGTCTTTCTTTTTGAACCATAAAGTAAAGGCACAATGCCTAGGTGCATCTGATCAAAATGAACTCCAGGAAATGGAAGCATTGTTGTTGGTTTTGTTTTCTTTTTCTTTTGTTCATTTATCTGTTTTTGGAAAGATGATGGGAGGCGCGGAAGTGGATGGACAAAGGGTGAACAAACACAGTAGTAGTAGTCATAGATACTATGTTGAAAATGAACTGTATAACTTGTGGGTGGATTAGGAGGGAAAAACTGGGAGAGAAATGTACTGTTTACCTGACTTATGCAACTGTAATCCCTCTGAACATCACTTTTACAATAGCGATAAGAAATGGAAAAAAATCAACAATGCAAATACTTTGTCATCTTTTGATTTCTTCTGTTGATAAACAAGTTATTAATTTAATGTCGAGAATTTATTGGTATTTTATTTTGTTTTCTGTGTCTTGCTTTTAAAATATATCCTTAACTAAAATTCATAAAGATAGTTTGATTTATCCCACATATTTTAAAGTTCTATTTTCCCACTTAAATATATCCAAGGTAGGATTGATTTTCACTCATGGCATGAAATAAGGCTCTAATTTCATTTTTCTATAACCAAGCATCCCATAATCATTTATTGAAGATCCATTTTCCCACAGTACCTGAAAATCCACTTCAGTTATATTCAAGCCCACTGGTCTTTAATGTTCCCTGGGGTTCTATTTCTCTAAATAACACCACACCCTGCAATTATGTTCCTGTTACAATGCATAATAAGATCAAACTGAAGCCAGGTGCTATACCACTAACTACTCAGGAGGCTGAGATCTGAGGATTGCAGTTCAAAACCAGCCTGGGCAGCAAAGTCCATGAGACTCTTATCTCCAATTAACCACCAGAAAACTGGAAGTCCTGCTGTGGCTCAAGTGGTAGAGAGCTTACCTTGAGCTGAAGAGCTGAAGTGCTGAGGGACAGCACTCTGGCCCAGAGTGCAAGCCCCACAACTGACAACAAAAAAAAATGACCTCAAGGTAATCTCCTTAATTTGGCGTTTTGATATCAGTCGTAATAGCTTGGATACTTCATGGATGATTTTGTATGCCTTCTGTTACATATACTTAATAGAAACACCGTTAATGATACTAAGATCACTTGTTTAAAATGCAGATGGCTAAGTCTCCTCATTGCAAATGGAGAACATTTATCACTTATGTAGTAATCTGGTAACAATAACTGACATGTTGTAACTTATTTTAGAGTAAATAGTGTTTAGGTGTATCCAGTTTTTGAGTTTGCAAAATATTATTTTTCTCTATTACTCAGGCATTTTCTGTAAAAAGGATATGAACTATAGTTTCTTTCAAAAGAGATGGGATTGAATGTGTAAATTTTTTACTTGTCAATTTCCAAGACCTCTTCAAGGATTTGATGTAGTGGTTACTTTTAATAAGCGTGTTTTTTATACTCTTGATTATTTTATACTCTATCTGCTGCTGAGTCCATTTTTTACTTATTTAATGCACTGAGTTAAGTGTAGTGATTCTGCCTTTTGATACTGAAATGGACTCTGTGCCCCCATTAACACGTTAAGTATTCCCTTACTTTCTTCTCAGACTTTTCCCATCACAGACATAATTCTTACCTTCTCTGATTCATGCTTTTCACTTGACCCATACGTTGCCCCGGTTTTCAGCCCCTCTCCTTTCTGGTTTCTAGGAATTTCTTCCAGGTTTGTTGCTGCTGTTTACTTCAAGCTCGGGTTCTCTGTTCTACCACCACCTATTTATTCAGTGCTAGCTATGGGCTAAATCTGTTCTGAAAATTCAGAGGTGAACAAAACTAACTTGAGCTCAAGAGTCTTTAAGCCAGAATCCTTGTTGTAGTGACTGCCTGTGAATGGGCGTGGCAGTGAGTGCACGGGCGTGGCAGTGAGTGCACAGCATGGCACTGAGTGCACGGGCGTGGCAGTGAGTGCACGGGCGTGGCAGTGCATGGGCATGGCAGTGAGTGCACGGGCGTGGCAGTGAGTGCACGGCGTGGCAGTGAGTGCACGGCGTGGCAGTGCACGGCGTGGCAGTGCACGGCGTGGCAGTGAGTGCACGGGCGTGGCAGTGCACGGGCGTGGCAGTGTACGGGCGTGGCAGTGAGTGCACGGCGTGGCAGTGAGTGCACGGCGTGGCAGTGCACGGCGTGGCAGTGCACGGCGTGGCAGTGAGTGCACGGGCGTGGCAGTGCACGGGCGTGGCAGTGCATGGGCATGGCAGTGAGTGCACGGGCGTGGCAGTGAGTGCACGGCGTGGCAGTGAGTGCACGGGGTGGCAGTGAGTGCACGGAGTGGCAGTGAGTGCACGGGCGTGGCAGTGAGTGCACGGCGTGGCAGTGAGTGCACGGCGTGGCAGTGAGTGCACGGCGTGGCAGTGAGTGCACGGGCGTGGCAGTGCACGGGCGTGGCAGTGAGTGCACGGGCGTGGCAGTGCACGGGCATGGGCGTGGCAGTGAGTGCACGGGCGTGGCAGTGAGTGCACGGCGTGGCAGTGCACGGGCGTGGCAGTGCACGGGCGTGGCAGTGAGTGCACGGGCGTGGCAGTGCACGGGCATGGGCATGGCAGTGAGTGCACGGGCGTGGCAGTGAGTGCACGGCGTGGCAGTGCACGGGCGTGGCAGTGCACGGCGTGGCAGTGAGTGCACGGGCGTGGCAGTGAGTGCACGGCGTGGCAGTGAGTGCACGGGCGTGGCAGTGAGTACACGGGCGTGGCAGTGAGTGCATGGAGTGGCAGTGAGTGCACGGGCGTGGCAGTGAGTGCATGGAGTGGCAGTGAGTGCACGGGCGTGGCAGTGAGTGCATGGAGTGGCAGTGAGTGCACGGGCGTGGCAGTGCATGGAGTGGCAGTGAGTGCACGGGCGTGGCAGTGAGTGCACGGCGTGGCAGTGCACGGGCGTGGCAGTGAGTGCATGGGCGTGGCAGTGAGTGCACGGCGTGGCAGTGAGTGCACGGCGTGGCAGTGAGTGCACGGGCGTGGCAGTGCACGGGCGTGGCAGTGCAGGACGTGGCAGTGAGTGCACGCCGTGGCAGTGAGTGCACGGGCGTGGCAGTGAGTGCACGGCGTGGCAGTGCACGGCGTGGCAGTGAGTGCACGGGCGTGGCAGTGAGTGCACGGCGTGGCAGTGCACGGGCGTGGCAGTGCACGGGCGTGGCAGTGAGTGCACGGGCGTGGCAGTGCACGGGCATGGGCATGGCAGTGAGTGCACGGGCGTGGCAGTGAGTGCACGGCGTGGCAGTGAGTGCACGGGCGTGGCAGTGAGTGCACGGGCATGGCAGTGAGTGCACGGGCGTGGCAGTGAGTGCACGGCGTGGCAGTGAGTGCACGGGCGTGGCAGTGCACGGGCGTGGCAGTGAGTGCACGGCGTGGCAGTGCACGGCGTGGCAGTGCATGGCGTGGCAGTGCACGGGCGTGGCAGTGCACGGGGTGGCAGTGTGGCCTCCTGGCTCCGGCTGTTCTGGAGGGTTAAAGGAAATCCAGTCAGATGCAGGACTGTGGGAACTCCAGGCCCGGCCGCTCAGGAAACCCGGTGATGGCTTCAGCCCGGGGTGACAGGCCTAGGAAGGTGGGCCCAGCCGGCGCCGGCTTCGGCGGGGAGGTCGGACTCCGGGGGCCGTCGCCCCAGGTCTCCGGGCCGGGGCCGGGTCCGAACGGGCTGCACCGGGGCGGGGGGGTCCCCGGAGGGGTGTTAACGGTTCACTACGCTCCCGAGGCCTTGGGAGATGGGCCGAGCACCGCCCGCACGTCGCTCTGCTCTGGGCCGGCGGGTGGGAGCCTCGCGGACTCGCCGGCCCAGGCTGGCTCGGAACCTGATCCTCGGACCCCGTGCAGGCCCCTTTCCCCAGGGCACGCCCCGCGCGCCCGGGGACCCGGGATTCCCCCGCGGCGGACCCGGACGGCCTTCTGGACTCCGGCCTGCAGGGGGCAGTGTGGCCCGGGGGCGACGCCGCGCCGGGGAGCGCCAAATCCTTCCCGGGGGCCGTCAAAGGAGTCACGGGGGCCGGAGCCTCGGGACTGAGCCTGCGCGCGGAGCCCGGCGCGGCGGGGCGCGCGCATGCGCCGTGGGAAGGGCCCGGCGCGGCCGGCACTGGGCGGGTCCGGCGGCTCCTGCGCGTCGGGGCCCCAGCCGCGGTGGGAGGAGCCGGCGGCTTCTCCCTGGTAACCGTCGCGCCGCCGCGGCCCCGCCTCGCAGGCCTCCCGGCGGTCCTCGCCTTTGGGGTGCTCGGGCCCCGGCACCCCGGAAGTGCCCCGCGGCCTCTCGGAGACCCCCGCCCCCGCCGCCGCCGCCGCCGCCGCCGCCATGCAAGGGGAGGACGCCAGATACCTCAAGAGGTGACCGCCACCCCGGGCGGGGCCGGGCGCGGGCGCGGCCACCGGGCGGGCAGGGCGCCCCGCGGGTGCGGGGACCCCGAGCCCTCACCCGACGGCGCCCGGGAGCGCGGCCGGAGCGCTGCCCTGCGGGGGGAGGGGAGGGGGGAGGGGAGGGGGGAGGCAGGGGGGCGGGGGATGAGGGGAGGGGGAGAGGGATGAGGGGAGGGGAGGGGAGGGGGGTGAGGGGAGGGAGAGAGGGATGAGGGAAGGGGAGGGGGCGGGGGAGGGGAGGGGAGGGGGGTGGGGGAGGGGGATGAGGGGAGGGGAGGGGAGGGGGAGCGGGGGAGGGGAGGGGGATGAGGGGAGGGGAGGGGGCGGGGGAGGGGAGGGGGCGGGGGAGGGGAGCCGCCGTGGCGAGGTCAGGTCTTTCGTGGGCGTTCTTCCGCCCCTGGCCGGCGCCCGCGGGCTGGGAGGGGACAGCCCAGGTTGGACGGGCGGCCCCTGTGTAGTTGTCGCCGTCCACGCAGGACTCTCAGCCACTCGAGTCGGTGCCCAGCCTCCCATCAGGCAGGGCTGGGCCGGGCAGGGACAGGCCGGGCGGGGCCAGGCAGGGCAGGGCCAGGGCCAGGGACAGGGCAGGGGTGAGGACGGGGACTGAGATGGGGCCGGGGGTGGGGGCAGGACAGGGGCAGGGGCGGGAATGGGGATGGGGCGGGGGCGGGGCCAGGGGCAGGGTGGGGGTGGGGCCAGGGGCAGGGCAGGGGCAGGGCAGGGACGGGGCAGGGGCAGGGCAGGGGCAGGGACAGGGCAGGGCAGGGCAGGGCAGGGCAGGGGCAGGGCAGGGACGGGGCAGGGGCAGGGCAGGGCCGGGGCAGGGGCAGGGCAGGGACGGGGCAGGGGCAGGGCAGGGCAGGGGCAGGGCAGGGGTAGGGATAGGGGCAGGGCTGGGGCAGGGGCAGGGCAGGGGCAGGGCTGGGGCAGGGGCAGGGCAGGGCAGGGGCAGGGGCAGGGCAGGGCAGGGGCAGGGCAGGGCAGGGCAGGGCAGGGCAGGGGCAGGGACCAGGGACAGGGACAGGGGCAGGGCAGGGACCAGACAGGGGCAGGGCAGGGACAGGGCTGGGGCAGGGACCAGGGACAGGGCTGGGGCAGGGACAGGGCTGGGGCAGGGACAGGGGCAGGGACCAGGGGCAGGGACAGGGGCAGGGACCAGACAGGGGCAGGGCAGGGGCAGGGGCAGGGGCAGGGCTGGGACAGGGGCAGGGGCAGGGCTGGGGCAGGGACCAGACAGGGGCAGGTGCAGGGCAGGGGCAGGGCTGGGACAGGGGCAGGGCAGGGGCAGGGACCAGACAGGGGCAGGGCAGGGGCAGGGCTGGGACAGGGACAGGGACCAGGGACAGGGCTGGGCTGGGCTGGAAGCAGACCAGCCCTCCTGATCTGGGGAGCACCCAGCCTCAGGTGTGTTCTAGAACAGTGTCCTCCAAGCTGCTACCTGGTACTGTTTTGAGGTAACCATATTGAATAAGTGCCACCTGTGCAGTAATGTCACCCGGGACTAAACCCACACAACTCATAGCCTTAGTGAGGCACAAACAAGTAAGTGTAGTGACACAGACTTATGTCCTTCCATGCTTTCAGAGTTGAGGCCTTTTCAACTTGACCTCTCCCTGTTCCCCTCTGCTCCAATAGTGCATCACTTTGCCCTGCAGAAAGAACCCTCTCTCAGTCCTTGTGTGTGTCCGTGCTTGATTCCTGTGTGTCTCTCTTTGTCCCATACTTGCCCTGTTCTTTATGCCGCTAACTTTTCATTCTCGGATTTTGCTTACATGTTACTTTTTTTCGTAGCTCTTCCCTGAGTCTCCTTTTGCTAGCCCACAATTCAGAACAGATATACCTATTAGGTTCTCATAGTACTTCATACCTTGTTTTCGCCTGGTGTTAATAGTCTCTGTTTTATTCTGGTCCATAAACTCAAGTTGAAGGCCACATGTATGTGTGTCTTACCTATCATTGTTCTGGCACTGTGCCGGAACACAGGTTATTAAATAGAATCAGAATGAGACTAGAAATAAATGTAAGGCAAATCATGTAAGATTTACGAACATAAATTTTATTTCCAGGATATTGGGGAACCATTGAGGGATTTATTTTTTTTTGTGGATAATATGTAACGTTTTATTTGTTCCTCTTCAGACTTGCAAGCATTTGGCAAATAACAGGTTCCTACTGACAGAGAATAAGGGATGATTTTATAACATACAACTTCATGTAAGGTTCACGTTGGCAAATGATTTGTCCAATCATCTAAAGATACTAAAACTTTCCCTATTGAGGGATTTTAAAGGATGAATGGTATTTATTCATTCCTTAAACAGTTATTCAGCCACATAGAAAACATATTTTTCCTTGTCTTTATAGCACTTATACTCTAGCATATAATACAGAATTTAAACACTTAGAAAGAAAATGCTGGTATCATCTATGTGTTGTATGTAATAAGCATGTAGCTCTGAAGCCATACATTTTCACATAGTATAATTGTGCTCCATCGGTGGCCTACCAGACATCACTATTTCATTCCATTCCTTTTGATAGCTGAGTAATACTTCGTTCTGCAGATATAACACATTTTATTTATTCATAATCCATCTGTTGATGACTATTTGGATTGTTTTTACCTTTTGGCTATTGGGAATTAATTTGTTATAAACACTACAAAGTTTTATTTGAAACCTGTTTTTGATCTTTGAGTATGTTCCTGTGCATGGAGTAACTGGGCAATAGGTATTTCTATATTCATTACTGAGGAGCAAATAAGGTTTCCTACTAACAATGTGTGAGCATTCCAGTTTGCCCAAGTTTTCACCAACACCTGTTACTCTCTTGTATTGTTTTATGGTTATGGCTATGTTGATACCGTCCTTTGAGTTTGGCTTGCATTTACATAATTATTAATAACATGGAACTTTCACATGCTTCTTGGCTATTTGTCTTTCTTCCATAGAAAAAGTTTTATTTTCATATATTCTAAATTCTAGACCTTTATCAGATAGTAAAATGGGTTGTCTTTTCACTGTATTGAAAGTGTCAAAACTTTGTGAAGTGCAGTTTACTTATTGTTTGTTTGTGAAGTGCAGTTTACGTATTGTTTCTTTGGTTGCTGTTTCGTTTGATTGCATTTCAGACCTTTAGTTTTTTTCCTAAGCATTTATAATTTTAGCTCTTAAATTTATATCTTTTATTCTTTCAATTTAACTATTATATGTAGCGTGTGGTAAGGTTCCTGTTTCATTCTTTACACATGGATTTCTATCTGGCCGTATAATATTTGTTAAAGAAATTGTTGTTTTGTCTATACATAATATCGTTGTTTTTTGTGTCTTTTGTGTTTTTTTTTTTTGTCAGTCATGGGCCTGAACTCTGGGCCTGGGCGCTGTCCCTCAGCTCTTCAGCTCAAGGCGAGTGCTCTACCACTTGAGCCACAGTGCCACTTCTGGCTTTTTCTGCTTATGTGGTGCTGATGAATCTAACCCAGGGCCTCATGCATGCAAGACAAGCACCCTACCACTGAGCCACCTTTCCTCCATCATTCTTTTGTATACTGTTTATGTTGTATCTTTTCCTATCATTCTTTTGAATGCCGTTTACATTGTATCTTTTCCCATCGTTTTACTCTGAACCTATTCATGTGCTTGGATTTAAAGTGACTACTTTGTAGATAGCATATACATGGATCATTTCTTAATTATGCAGCTTGCCAGTCATTGCCTTTTAACTCAGAACTTTATTTAAAGTAGTTATTGATAAGACTTAACATCTTTCTGTATGTCATACCATTCCTTGTCCCAGAGTTCCTTTGTTATTATCTTTTGTGTATTATTGATTTTTATTGTATTGTCATTCCCTCTTATCTGTATGTTTTAATAGCTTTGAAAATTATGATTAGCAAGCTAAACTTACTAACCTTTTTAAAATAAGTACCAATCTAGATTAAATATAAAAATTTGGCTTCTATACATTCTTATCTTGTCATATACTGAATATTTTAAATTGTGTGTCCACTAAGGTAGATTTCTAATTAGTATTATAAATATTTTTCTTGTAAATCATATGGAGAGGTATTATAAACTCAAAATACAGTTATACTGGCCTCTATATTTACTAGTAGTTATCTTTAACGATATTATTTATTTCCTCACATGTCTTCAGTTTACTGTCTAGTGTCTCCTTCAATTCAAGCGGAAGGACCCCCGTTAGCATTTCTTACAGAGCAGTTTTACCACTAATGTCTCTGTTTCTCTGCCTCTCCCCTTCTTTCTTTCTCCCTTGTTTCTTCTCTCTCCCTTCTTTCCTTGCTTTTGTTTCTTCATCCTTTTTGGTACATCATAATGAATACCCACATTTCAGCAGAAAGAACTGAAATTATAGCCCATTTGCTTCTGCTATATTTGAGCTAGAAAAAAAAAATCTATTATACCAAATGAACATTAGGTTGCTAGACAAATACTTTAAATCATTTGTCATACATATGTTTAAAAAGCTAAAGAAAACTAGAACTAGAATTAAAGAAAGCCAGAAAGTATTATTTCAATAAATAAACCGTATCAATAAAAATACAAATAAATAGTACTAGTAAAAATACATGGGATGAGCTGGGCGCCGGTGGCTCACACCTGTAATCCTAACTACTCAGGAGGCGGAGATCTGAGGATCATGGTTCAAAGCCAGCCTAGGCAAGAAAGTCTGTGAGATTTATCTCTAATTAACCACCAGAAAACAGGAAGTGGTGCTGTGGCTCAAGTAGTAGAGCGCTAGCCTTGAGAATGAAGAGCTGAGGGACAGTGCCCAGGCCCAGAGTTCAAGCCCCACAACCGACACACACACACACAAACACAAACCATGGACGGGAGGAGGGTTGAGAGTGAAGAAAACTGGGAGAAAATGAAGGAAGAGGTGACCCTGTCTGATAGGAAATGTACTCACTACCTGACTTACGTAACTGCAACCCCTCTGTACATCACCTTTATAATAGTAGAATAAAATAAAACAATGCAGTCAATCTGGAAAAAATGACATGCATTATGAAAGGGTTCATGTAAAAATATTACAGCTGAATAACTGAAGGAAAATAGTAGCAGGGGTGTTCAACAGCAGATTTAAGCACAGGAAAGAAGAATCAAACTTGAAGATAGCTCCAGTGAAGTTAGCGGTCTGAGATGCAGAAGCTGGCCTTAGCATAGGTCCGTGCCTACTAATGCACGTCACTAGTACTATCTGCAGCAACTTGTAGTGCCGTCTTGACACAGTTCCCAGTCAGGCCAAATGGAGATGGCTTAACAACTCCATGGCAGGCTCAAAGCAGAATTCGTGGCGAGATGGGTTTAACTGGCTCTTGTTGCAGTCAGCTGTCCACAACGGGTACATGGCTGCTGTCCTCAAGGTTGTGTAAGGCTAGGTCGAAGCCCACAAGGGGGTTCAAGCACAGTTCAACTCAGAGCATACCTGACTGCAAACCCTCGTGCTGAGGGGAAGTCCCACAGAGATCTACCCTGCTTGTGTAACCTTTCTTTTGACGGAATACTCACTGTGCACCGTAAACGGCGGGCTATCTTCTACACATCCAGTAAGGTTCTGTTTTTCAGTGTTTGGGGAAACGCTAGCCTTTGCAGTTCCCCACTCTGCTGTTGTCACTATATTCGCTACCGTTATGATTATTATTTTTTTGGGAGAGGTCCAGTTGTGGGGCCTGAACTCTGGGCCTGGGCGCTGTCCCTCAGCTCTTCAGCTCAAGGCTAGCACTCTACCACTTGAGCCACAGCGCCACTTCCGGCTTTTTTTTCTGCTTATGTGGTGCTGGGGAATTGAACCCAGGGCCTCATGCATGCAAGGCAAGCGCTCTACCACTGAGCCACCTTCCCAGCCCATGATTATTTTTTAATATATTTCTTTTGCCTGCATGCTCTCTCGTCTCTTGTCCTAGGACTTCACTCACATATACTATGCCTACTCAATGTGTAGCTCTGAATCAAACTTTCACTGTTCATCCTTTTGTCTGTTGTTTTAGTTATGTTAACTATTAACTATAAATACACTGTTTCTGATTTGATATCATGGATGAATATAAATACCCTAAAACCCATTGGGAGCTGGGACACTAATCACATGAAGTGTGCCTGTAGGCCCCGCAACTGTAGAGGCTTGGCAGAAGGATTGCTTGAGCCCAAGAGTTCAAGACCAACTTGGATAATACAGCAAGGCCCTCTTGTCTACAAGCAAAAAACAAACCAAAACACAAGTCCTTTAAGATTTAGGATTATTTCTTACTATTCAGAGGATTCCTTTTTTCATGGTTAGATAGTAAAGGGGCACTTAAAATCGAGGGTCCTCTTAATTAGTTTTCAGATATAATAAGCTAGAGTTGGTAGCATATTGGGGACAAGTCTACATTCATTTCACAGTTGGTCTTAGAATATAGTCCTCCTGCTTTCAACCCATAGTTTAGAGCATTAACAAGGCAACTGCTGTTGAGTACTCTGAACTCAGTTTTTGTGTCCCTAGTCATATGTGACTATTAAAAGATTCTACTACATCTAGCTATAACTATTCAATTAGTGAATATCCCCTAGGACAAAGCAGCCTCAAATTTGACCTACCTCTCTCCATTTTCAGTTTATCCTGGGTCTTAGCACTGTGATTTTTTTGTTTTCTATGCCTTCAAACAGATACAAATATACATATTTCAGTCCTCAGCTTTTTTAATTTTCTTGAAATACATGTTGATTTTAAACACCTAATCCTGTACATTTTCATTATCAAGTCCTTATCTTGGTAGCAGAAATGCAAAACTTATTTTGATGGCATCCATCAGAAATTATAAATATGAGTAAATATCAAAGATTTTCCTTCTCAGTGTCTTTAAATACCTGACTTTTAAGCAAAACTTAAACTTACTTTTTGTGACCCTTTTTAGATGTAATGCATAAGACAACTCTTGGCATTCTGCAGTGGCCTGTGATTTATTGCATAGTGCCAGGTGTATACGTGTTCATTTGTTATTTGACACAACTTTATTTTGTAATCCTTTTGGCAGCAATAATTTTTCAAAAAATACCTTTTTAATGAAAAGCCAGGTACTTTTATTTTTGCTTCTCAAGAAAACTAGTGATGAATGTAAGAGACATTTATTTTGTATGTCAGAGATCATCGTAATATCAGAAACCACATGAAGTCTGCAAACATAAGGATGTGTTTCAGAAGTCAATGATTAAGAATGTTATGCCCCCAAAGTAACATTTTTAATACAGTTACAGATGGAGTGATTTATATTACTCTTCTAAAGTATCTTGGCTCATAGAGACTTAAAAAATCCCTACAATTGTATTTCCAAAATAATTTAGCACCTTTATTTTTGCAATTTTCTTGTGCATTTCCTAATACTGACTCCAGAGCCTTTCCTTTCTCTGCATAAATAACTCAAGTAAATGGATCATTTTAGAAATTACATTGATAATAATGAGTCAAAGTATTCCTAGCTGGAAGAACATCCTTAAATTTAATGTAATCTGAATAAATTTGACATGTTACTGTATTTTGTATTGTATCTCATCAGATTAAAAGATTCTATGACCTAGCTGGCTAGCTGTGATTAAGAGTGAAAAATTTGTTTCCATTGTTTAATTTCCTTTAGTACAACTCATTTTTATCATTTTAAATGGTAAAGCAACAAATACTGATTAATACATTATTTATTGCAGTTCATTTTGTAACTTTAGGGGTTTGGGAATTAAATGTATTTGGGGTGTTTCTGAAATTACTACTGAGAGTATAACATATATGGAGATGAGTGTTGATTTGAGGTGAATGACTATCCAACATACAAAGTTTTGTAAATGCTTATTTGTCATGTGGCCTAGTTGTGGTTATGATTTTATTTAGAAACTAATGTTATAATTTATACAGCCATGGTAAACAGTACATGATACATTATATATTAAACCTTATATAATTCCATTATGTCATTTTGTGATCGAAATAAATGGATTAGGTAGGTTTATTTTACTTTTTAGAAAACTTTAAATTTTTATTTTGTTTTCGGTACTTCACTAGCTCTTTATCATACAGAAAAACCCAAATAGTTTTACAACTTGGGGTGGGGAGGAGTTGGGGAAGTGGGAAGGGAAGGGGAAAACAAAGGAGGGGGTACTCATCTTACTCATGTGACTGTAACCCCTCTGTACAGTATCTTTACAATAAAAATACATCTTAAGAAAAAAATAGAAACCCAAATAGTTACATCTTGACAATTCTTACCTTTCACATGGTTGGAAAGGGCAAGGTTTATTTTTTAAAATACAAATTTAGAGGTAGCTATCTTTGATGTTGAAGAGAATGACAGTAAGTTTTATTGTCATTGTCATTCTCTACAAGGACATCCTAATTGCTTGTTTCACTCATTTTCTTTGTGCATGGTACTTTTGGTAACTGTATTTTTCAAAGGTAGCACTATTTATGTGAAGGTACTTTATGCAGTTGTCTCTTTTCCCAAGTTAAAAGTAAGTTTGATTCAAAGGCATATATAAACCAGCCTGTATTTTTTGGAACTAGTTAAAAATCACGGCCATGTCATGAGGTTTTTTGGGTTTTTTTGTATTTTGTATTTCAGGAAAGTTAAAGGAGGGAATATTGATGTACACCCATCAGAAAAGGCGCTCATTGTCCAGTATGAAGTGGAGGCCACCATTCTTGGAGAAATGGGGGATCCCATGTTAGGAGAACGAAAGGAATGCCAAAAAATGTAAGTAGTGAATCTACACAGACCTGATGCCACTTTGATCTTCATAGGCAGTAGGTGATCACAGCATCTTTAGAGAGAGGTTATCTTAGAGAAATTACATTAAACTGTAACTATAAAATATGTTTATTCCAAATAAAATGTTCCTGTCACTACTAACTTGTAAAGTCAGTCATAAATGTTACATGTATATGGGACTTTTCAGTTTAATTAAAAACCCTAGGTTTTCTCTTTCCTGGAATTTCATGAAGTAGTATGATTTTCAGAAGTTCCCAGTTAGGACACAGAACTTGAATACTCACTTGAAAATCTAGTCCTCTGCAACATGTTAGTAATATCACAAGATTTTTCTGGCTCAAGAGATTAGTTTTAGTTCTCCCAGTGTCTTGTGCACTTTCCTAGTTGCTGGTATAGCTGTCCCTTGGGAACTGGGTTTTTTCACTAGCCTGGATTTGTGCTGGTGATGATCTTGCCTGCCTTCCATCGCTTTTCAGAAATTTAGATTTGGGAGTCACTAATATTCTCATTCAACCCTCCTTTCTCCATAAACAAATAAATGAAAGGACCTAACTTTTACTTGGTAACTAGTTAGAGAAAATTCTATTATTTCCTGGTTTGTGAGTTACTGGGAACACATGTGATAATATTTAGCACGTTAAGTGTATGGTGATGATCCTCAACTGGGAGTGGTTTTTCCCACAGGGGGTATTTAGCAGTGTCTGTAGATATTTTGTAAGGAGGAGGAGGGCATGGCCATACATTGGCTAGAGGCCAGTTGACTGTTGCTAATTATGATGTACTACACATGCTAGCCACCTACAGATTCATAGTGCTGCAGCCAGGAAACCCTTGCTTATAGCAGTCTTCAAGAGAACTTGCTGAGTAGCTTAAGTACACCTTAACTGTCCTTTGTCTTTGGATTGGATGGAGGCTAACTGACATTAATAATGCATTAAAAATGAATGAATCCTCTACAATAAAGAGAGATTTTACACATGCATTCTTACACATTTTACAGCACCTTTTTGTCACATTCTCCTCTCCATTTACGTTTGAGTGATTGCTTGCCAAAGTTTATATATTTTGAGAACACATAACAATCTCTATTTGACTTCCCAAGAAAAGCAGCAGATTGGATTCTTTGACTTTAGAACCTCATGTATCCATACTTCAAGAGAAATTTAATTTTTAGTTCTTAAGGTGTCCTCACTAGTTTTTTAATGTAGAATTTGACAAAAATATTAGTGCTTTAAAATCTTCAGGCTTTTTAGTCAAGAATTACATTCAGCAGGGAGTTGGAAACAAGCATAAGAATCTGTTCTGTGATTAGGGTATGTGCACTTAAATCTTAGCAAGAAAAGACCTGAATAACTCAAACAGGAAATCAACCCTGGCTGCCCAGGATTTGGAGAGTAATCATATTGTTGAACACAAAGAAAATGTGCTTGTAATTCAAGAAATTTTCTCAGTGGTGTAGCAGAAGGGAATCTCATATAGGATGAGAGAGGTATGAATTGAACCTGTTATTAAGTTGGAGTCATCAAAGCTGTGGCCCAGATATGGTAAAGAAATTTTACAAGCTTGTCTTTATGAGAATTCCAGTTTTGTACAGATTTTGTTTTGAGAAACTGGTGATTATGGTCCAAAAATAATACAAGTGATAAAGTTTTTGATAAATGGTAATAAGCATGAAGTGCCTAATAAAAATGTTATATGTTGATTATAGGAATGGTCCAGTACCCATACAGCTAAAATTTTCTAAAACATTTCTCAATATACCTGTATTTTTTCATGTCTTCTTAACAAATGAAGGTGTAGGGAACTGTCTGCTACTCTGAGTAGAAAAGGATGCATCAAGTTGCTACTATGTATGTGGTAGAAAACACCTAAAAGAAGCTTGTAAGCCTTTGTATATTAAAACAATAAGGTAGACTAGTAAAATGGTTAAAGTGCAAAGTGCTAACAATAGCAGATTCTGCAAGAATGTGGAATAATAAGGACTTTCATTTATAGCTGATGGGAAAATAAAATAAGCATATATTTTGCAAGAAAATTTGGTGGTCTCCTACGAAGCCAAAAATAGGCTAACCATATTATGTAGCATTTGCCCAGCAAAAGTCTTTATTTTTAATTGCCAACAATTTGAAGCCACCAAAATATCTTTTGATGGTGAATCTCTAAAGAACAAGATTTAGATTTTATTGGGATTAATATCTTAACTCATTCTACTGGCTTCCCAGACCATTTCCTTGACTTCTCCACCCTGGTCCCTTTACTGAGAAATCATTCATTCAACAGCATGAAGACTTGATTGGTTTCCTCTTTGTGAATTTAAGATCTGCAAAGAAGCATCTACTTGAGAGTGTTTTGTCATTACATTAACTTTTTACTCTGAGTCCAATTTTTGTTTCCCATATATGAATCTGTGTAACGGGCATTTGTCGTCAGACTGTGCCATCTTTTCTTGGCTTGTCAGTGAATCACTTGTGTTATATTCAGATGATGGGAGGGAGTGTTAAACTTTTTTGATGTACTAATTTACATGTAAATTTTATTCATCTGTTACTCAAAGTTTCCCATATAGGTCTTAAAATACATCTCACTTTTCTTCTACTTTCTATATTCTTGCCAGCAAAGCAATTAAAATCTAAAAATATCAAGGTTTTGTCTTGTCCTTAACTAGAAAAAAAAGCAGTAGGAAAGGTCAAGAAAATGATTTACTTGTTGCAGTACGAATTCATAAATCAATATTGATTAAAGATTCATATATTTTTATATCTGAAAGGCTGCATTAGAACAGGACCTCTGAATATGCTGTCCTGCCTAGAGATTCAGAAAAAAAAATTGTTTCCTTTGTTAGCTTCTTTGTCCAAACCATAGAAAATAATTCCTTTAAATTTTCTAAGCATAATTATATGTAATACTTCATTAAGATTTTACAAGTGCATATAGACTCTGTTATCTTAATTTAAAATAGTAGTGTTGGATCTGTGGAGTACTTCTACCATATCTGAGTTGGACTTTTGGATATCCTTGCAGTATTCGTCTGAAAAGTCTGAATGCTAACACAGATATAACTTCTCTGGCTCGAAAAGTGGTTGAAGAGTGTAAACTCATCCACCCCTCCAAATTGAACGATGTGGAGCAGCTGTTGTACTACCTACAGAACCGCCGGGTTTCGTGGTCAGGGAAAGGTGAGCGGAGTGCTGGACTTTTAAATGCAAAGTCAGAGCTGGATTACAATTTCAGCTTCTTTGAGTTTGAGTGAGGTTTATCACGTGTGCTATGAACAAGTAAACTAATGGAAGAATGAATAAGCATATTAGTTTTCAGTGTGGTAGGTTTTATGCTTCCACATAAAACAATCTCATTTGTTTCATTTTACATGTAATGAATATATATTTACCAAAATAAGGAATAAATAAGGAATCTGTTGTTGGTTGTAAATTAATAAAAGGAGAGAATTTAAAGTATAAAACCTATTTTATGTGCCCTAACTAGAGTTTAAAAGTTCAGAAGTGGCGCTGTGGCTCAAGTGGTAGAGTGCTAGCCTTGAGCTGAAGAGCTGAGGGACAGCGCCCAGGCCCAGAGTTCAGGCCCCACGATCGGATCCAAAAAAAAGTTTAGAAATTTCCAAATTTATTAATGATACTTGATTTATTAGTTGAATGGATTGTTTAAGTGTTAAAATATATATCCTATGCCTTAGTCTATCCTAAAGATGTAACTATTGGAACATCCCAGTATCTATTTGCTATTTATTCCCCAATATCTATTTGCCATTTTCCTATCCTCACTTCCTCAGTGAAAGAATTATGCAAGTAAAGTATTAGCACTAAGAAGTACTTATTTACAAAAATAAAAACAGATTATGTGTGTGTGTGGGGGGGGGGTGTTGAATTCCCTAGGTTTGCTCGGCTTGCTTGCTCACAGGTGGTCCTGTCCACTTCAGCAATACCTCCAATCTAGTTAGTTGTCAATAGAGTCTCACAACTCTTCTGCTCAGGATAGCAGAGGATTCGATCAATCAGAGTATTGAACATTGATCCTCTGATTTCAGCCACCTTCGAAGCTAGGATTAAAGGCATGAGCCATCAGCACCCAGCAAGTTGGTATTTGTTGTTGTCGTTGGTGGTGGTGTTTTATGTTTGGGGTTGGTGGAAGGTATTGTGTTTTCAACTCTGGGCCTCATTCTCACTTGGTTTGCTTGCTTGGTTAATGCTCTATCCTTGAGTTATTTTCTCAGTTTTGAATAGTTATCCCCATTTCACAATCTTTACCAAATGTATGGTTTTTCAACATTGAAACACTCCAAAATGTGATACTCTTACAGTAACATGTCTGTGCTCAAATTTGGACTGGACTTAGTACATAAATATTAACATTTTGTTTGGGAGTTTTTTTGCCCAGATTAGTCTTCTCTATATTTACAGCAAATAAATACCTGTGCCTAATAAATTCTCCTAGCACTGAATCTTAACAGATGCATGCACATGTTATTGAATGAACTGAATGGCTGTACACTTAATCTTAAAAGCAAAAAAGGCATTTTGAACTTGAAGTATACTTGTTACCAGTGAGTACTCACCTACCAAGATATAGAAAACATTATCAAGAAAAAAATTATACAAATATTCTCAGAAATATCTTGTTAGGATATCTATATATGAGGAGAGATAACATCTTCAAATAAATTTGAAGTGAGCAAAATCAGCAATGTTTGAACTTTTGTATGTACAATAATGTAGGTTGTACAATAGTTAAAATTAATTTTTCCTAGTGCCAAATCAGTACAGTTTTAAAAGCATTTATAATAAAATACCTGTAGACTCATGAAAAGAAAAGAATGAGTTTTCAAGGAAAGTCAGTATTTTCTCTTTCCTAAAATTAAAGAAATATGAACAATATATGGACAAAATAATTCAACAAATGTTATTCTCTAGATATTATTATTGATGACTATATGCAGTGCTTTGCTAAGTTTAATCTATGCTTATTTTTAATTATTCAGTTTTTCTTAACATTTTAATTTGGTGTTTGATATTTCAGAGCCAGAGAACCCTTGCCCTAGAGGGTGGTCCTGTATAACTGTATAATTCATTTTTTTCCTCGCTGATTGAAACTTCTCGCATACTAAGTTGTCCACTTAAGGCAAAACTTAGCTGTTGAGATTATAAGGACATTATCTAGAATGGTGGCTGTCTTCTGAAAATTATTTATCTTTGTGTTCCTTGAAAGAACAGGCTTTCTCTAGCATTTTAACCATTTCCAGACAAAAATATTACTCAACCATATTTTCAATATCACATTGTTGTACAATGAGTTTTATTGTGACATTTTCGTTCTTGTATATAATGTGTTTTGATATTATTTATTTACATGCATACACGCCTACTCTCTTATCTCCTCTACTCTCTGGTCTCCTCTTTCCTAATAGTCTACAATAATGGATTATTGTATTATATGTTTATTTATCTGCTAGTTTTAAAATCAAAATTTTGATATTTCTGATTTCTTTTAATATGCATTCATTGTTTTTGTTTTTGATTAGGGTCATAGAAAATATATTTATGCTTCTAATTAAATAACTCAGTATAATAAATGTCTCAGAATTTGTGTTAAAGCCTTTGAATATTTTATTTGGGAATAAGTAAGAATTCAATTAATATAATTTTAAGTATTTGTCTTAATTTATTACTTTAATTTGACTTATCAGACAAGAATCAATTATTTTAGCTTATGAATTTACCCATCACTTTTATTATTTTTTCTGTTAACTTTTAGTTTTCTTTTTTTTTTTTTTTTTGGGGGGGGGGTCTGGTCGTGGGGCCTGAACTCTGGGCCTGGGCACTGTCCCTCAGCTCTTCAGCTCAAAGCTAGTGTCCTACCACTTGAGCCACAGCACCACTTCCGGCTTTTTTTCTTTTTGCTTATGTGGTGCTGAGGAATCGAACCCAGGGCTTCAAGCATGCAAGGCTAGCGCTCTACCACTGAGCCACCTTCCCAGCCCCTAACTTTTAGTTTTCATATTGCTCATTTACTATTACTACTCATGTTTCTCTTTGCCTTACTGATTTACCTATTCCTGCCTTAAATTTGAATTAGGAAGGGGAAAATAGACATACTTAGAATTACTATTTTGGCTCTTATTGGAGAATTTATCTGTATACTTATCCCAAAAGTTAGCCAAGGAGGACTTTAAAGTTACTGTCCAACATAAACTTTGTCATGTGGTATATATTTTATTAGTTTGTACTAATAATATACTATATTCCTTTGATAGCATCATTGGGGTTAGCTGAATGAATTATAAATAAGCATTTTTTACACATGGAAAAAAGATTTCAGTAAAAATTTCATTTTAGTAGCTTCCAGTTATAAAGAATCAAACAGATGTAGTTTTTCTCATTTAAATTTGTTTCATTCTTCATAGAAAAGAAAGAAAAATCAAGCAAGCCCAAAGATCCACCTCCTTTTGAAGGAATGGAAGTAAGTCTATATGAATCCTGATCTAATAAAGGATTAATTGTAAGATACTTTTGCAAATAACCACATTAATAAAATGTTGAATTTTCAATGATGACTGAACTTAGAGGTCCTTGAGAAAGGTAGATAATAAGTAATTAACAATGACAAACATTGGTGTGCTTTTTAGACATTTTTATTTTAAATGGTAAAATATCTTGATGTTTTTATTATAGTATATTTTAAAATACCAGTTAATGTACTTCTGTAAACACAAATTACTTTGTAATATATGTAAAATACTTTATATTTTGAATATTTTATGGGGCAGAGAATGTGACTGTGGTAAGGTGCTTCTCTAATATATGCAAGGCCCTGGTTTCCATCCTCTGCAGGACAAAAACTAAATCAAACTCTTTATACTGATAGACAAACTTTAGAGTTTATGTATGTCCATCTTTGCCATAGTTCATGCTTTTTGTATTTACGTCCTAGTATCCAAGGGCATAAAATCTTCATCTATAAAAAGTTGGATGCTATAAGTTATTGGTAATTTGTTAATTCTGATAGTATCACAAAGTATCATTTCTTTGACAACGAATCTGTAGTTGAGTACTTATATCTTTGTTTCAGATTGATGAGATTGCTAACATAAATGATATGGATGAATACATTGAGTTATTATATGAAGATATTCCTGACAAGGTTCGGGGTTCTGCTCTGATCTTGCAGCTTGCTCGAAATCCTGATAACTTGGAAGAACTACTATTGAATGGTGATTTGTGTTTATAAAAAGCATTCCTACTCTGTGAAGTTTGTATTCATATCTTATGTGTATGCATACACAAGTGATTTTCATGTCTTAAATATTTATATTCTAAAAACGAATCATTTTATTTAGGAGTATTTTTCTGAGTCTCTTCCTCCTTCTCTTTCTCTCTCTGACTCTCTCAGCTTATTCTTTTCTACCCTTTCATTATCATCATTTGTGTCTTTGAATCTAAAGAGTTTCTATTGAAGATAGGGTTTGATTGGATTATGGTATCATAGTGGGTTTTTCTAATCTATTTTTATCCATTGGAGTATTTAATCCATTTACACTAATGAAATCACTCATCAAGTAGGATTGGCATCATTTTATATTTGTTATACATGTAAGATTTGTTTTATGTTTTTATTATATTTGCATTTTTATATATATATTTTTATATATATATTTTATATATACATTTTTATATTAGTTTTCTATGTGTCTCTTACCTTTTTTGTTCTATCCCTTCAGTATTTCCTTCTTTTGTGTTGATATTTTCTGGTTTGCCAGTGTTTGTTTTGGTTTTGGGTTTTTTGTTTTGTTTTGTTTTGTCAGTCCTGGAGCTAGAGCTGTTTTGCTCAAGGCTGGCATTTTACCACTTGAGCAACACCTCTACTTCTGTCTTTTTGATGTTTAATTGGAGTCTGAAGAACTTTCCTGCCTGGGTTGGCTTTGAATTGCAACCCTTAGCTTCCAGAGTAGCTAGGATTACAGGTTTGAGCCACCAGCACTCAGCTTCTGCCAGGGTTTGTGGTCTTGTTTTCCTGAATTATTTTTATCTGAGAAAAAAATTTCAAGCAATCTTATTCAAATTCATACCAACTTCATTTTAACAATATGCAAATGTTTACTCTAATAACCCATTTTGTACTATTATATTGTGCAAATATGTATTTGTATATTATAAGGTCATTAATATATATTATGTAAGTACCATTCTATACATTTTTCTTATAAGGCAGATAGAAGACAACCATTGGAAATTTTTATCTTGTCTTATAGTTACTTTTGTAGTTACTTTTGCCAGTAGTCTGAATTTCTTTTTTTAATTGTGAAAATACTGTACAGAGGGGTTACAATTACATGGGCAAGATAATGAGTACATTTCTTATCAAGCATTGTAGCCTCCTCCTTTGTTTCCCCTTCCCATCCCTTCCCATCCTCCCCCTGCCTCCCCACCCAACCCTCCCCGCTCCCCATCTCTGAATTTCTTTATGTGGATTTAAATTCTAAATAGTGTACTTTCATTTTAGCTCAATATTCCTTTTAGTACTTCTGGGAGAAGAGAACCTGCTACTTTAAATTGTCTTAAAGTTTTTGTTTACCAAGCATTGAGTTTTTCCTGTTTTAAAAGAGAATTGCTGGAAATAGAATTTTTTTTTTTGGGGGGGGGGGGGTCTGGTCATGGGGCCTGAACTCTGGGCCTGGGCGCTGTCCCTCAGCTCTTCAGCTCAAGGCCAGCGCTCTACCACTTGAGCCACAGCACCACTTCCGGCTTTTTTTTTTCTACTTACGTGGTGCTGAGGAATTGAACCCAGGGCCTCATGCATGCAAGGCAAGCGCTCTACCACTGAGCCACCTTCCCAGCCCAGGAAATAGAATTTTTGATTGACAGGAATTCCGTTGCACTTTGAATGTTGTTATCTCTCTGCATTCCTGACTCCTGTTTCTGATGTGAAATCAGTTATTGACCTTATTGTGGTCCTATGCAGATGTCAACTTGCTTTTCTCCATCATTCTTTGTGCCCTCTTTTTTGCCACTTGAACACTATAAAGTTGTTTAGTGTTGATATCCTTGAGTTTTATTTTACTTGCAGTTTGTTAAGCTTCTTGGCAGTGTGAATTAGGATTTTTCAATAAGCAGGAAGTATATAGTCATAATATTCATTAGATATTTATTCTGCCCTTTACTCTCCTTTGCTTCTGAGATTCTTGTCATGTTGTGTTTTGTGGTGCTTCATAGGCCTTTGAGACTCTGGTTATTTTGTCTTCAATCTTTTTTCTTTCTTTTCCTCATATTGAATCTAAAGTGGCTTGTGTTCATAGAATGGGTTCTTTTTCTAATTCATATATTTTATTAAGATCCCTGGCGAATCCAGGCACCAGTGGCTAAAGTTTACAATTCTAGCTACTTAGGAACTGAGATCTGAAGATCTAGGTTTGAAGTCAATCCCAGACAGACCAAGTGACTCTTATTTCCAATTAACTAGTAAAAATCTGGAAGTGGAGGTATGGCTCAAGTGATAGAGCCACAGGCCTTGAGCAAGGGTACAAGGCCTAGAGCTTAAGTTCCAATGCAAGCACAGTAAACCAGACCTACCATTGGTGGGGGGAGGGATGTCACTCCCTAAGTGAATTTTGTACTTCTGTCTGGCTCTTTATAAAATAATATGCACCCTTTAAGACATAATTCTTGTACCTTCACAGACTTCCCTTAAAAATTTTTTTTGGTGTGTATATGTTTATGTGTACATGTGCACTAGTACAGTTTGAACTTAGGACCTCAAGCTCTGTTCTGCTTGTTTATTCATGGCTGGCTCTGCCACTGGAGCCATGGCTCCAGTCTGACATTTTGCTAATTAATTTGAGATAGTTTGTCAGGTTTTTCTGCTGAGACTGGCTTCAAATAAGTCTTCCAGGGTTCAGCCTTCTGAGTAGCTAGGATTACAGGCACACGCCTGTAAGTCTTTAGAGATAGTTTTCTTTAGTTTTTATGTAATTATAATCTTTGTCTTCTCATGAGCAGTTTGTGTTTGCAGTTTGATTTCTGAGTAGAGGCCTTATTCTTCTTTGCATGCCTTGTTGTTGCTGTTGAAATGACAACTTTGGAAATCAGATTCTCCTTTGCATGCCTTCTTCCTGTTGAAATGACAACTTGGGAAATCAGATTTCTACTACCTCCAAAGCTTGCTGTTGATGCTGTTTAGTGAGATTTGTGAATTCATTTCATAATGTCTATATCCTTTGTGTAATATGATCACTGAATTCTTTGCTCTAGCTTAGTGGTCAGCTGTTTTATAGAGAAGTTTTCTTACATGGCAGACAGTAAGTCTCTCAGACTTTGTTGAAGGGATTGTTGTATGTGTGTCTGTGTGTGCGTGTGTATGTGCATGCACACACTTGCGTGTGCATGTTCTACACACACACACACCTTTAATGCTCCATTATACAATACTATGCCATTACTTCTGGCTTGTACATTGCCTCGCTTCATTCAGAGATGAGAGCTTGGGCCTTCCCAAGTCTTTTCCTGGGAAGTACACTACTCTGCACCTATGCATGGCTTTTGAGGCCTCCAGGGTATGCTAGAGCTTTGTAAAGTCCCCAGATAAAATGAACTAATATACAAGACAAAGGATACAGAAATCAAAAACACCAGGGAATAAACCAAAAGGGAAAACAAAAAAAAAGAAATAACTGCAAACAGTACACTAAAAAAAAAATCTTGGGCTGGGAATGTAGCTCAGTGATAGAGTGCTTGCCTAGCATGCATGAAGTCCTGGGTTTGATTCCTAGTACCACATAATCACAAAAAGCCAGAAGTGGCACTGTGGCCCAGGTGGTAGAACACTAGCCTTGAGCACAGAGAGGCTCAGGGACGGTGCCCAGGCCCTGAGTTCAAGCCCCAGGACTGGCAAAACAAAAACAAAAACTTCTTGTTTCCATTTCTTGGAGTTCATTTCGATAAGCATCATTTTATATAGTCATATGCACATAGCTTTTGAGCTGTTGTGATCCTCTGCTAGGACTATCCTAGACATATTCTAGTCATTACAGATGAGGGAAACGATGCCACCTATGTTTCTTTGGGTCTGGCTTGCTTCGCTGAATATAATTTTTTCCAAGTATTTCTGTTTCCTTACAAATGGTGCAATATCATTCTTTCTGATGGAAGCATAGAATTCCACTGTGTATATATCCTGCATTTTCTTGATCATTCATCTGCTGAGGGGCATCTGCCCTCTCAAACAGATTTGAGAATTCATCTGTCTTTTTTATTTAAAGATTTTTTTTTTTGTCAATTTTTGCGACATAGTGAAGCCACAGTTGTGTTGTTACCATCTGTAGTTTCCACCAAATACCTCAAGTATATGCACAGCAAGCACTGCCTCAAGTCAGAGACTTGACATTGAGCTCCCTGAGAAGGAGCAGTTGTAATGGAGCACAAGGACAAGTCATAGGGGCAGTTTGGGGTGGGATGTGGGGACTGTGGGGAGCCTCAGACTGTTCTCCACGACTCGTGCCAGCCTCCTGGCTTGCACAGATGTCAGAGTTGTGATGCTGTTGTTTTCAACACTCCCCAGAACCCCGTGGCGAAGATAGAATTAGGGCAAGATGAATCACCACAGATCTCAGCATCTTTACTGGTAGTATTGGTGTTTGAACTCAGGGCCCAAGTAACTTTGCTCCTCCTTGAGCCACACCCTCAGCCTTTTTTGCTTTATGCTTTCTTTTCATGTGGAGTCTGCCATTCTTTTCCTGGCTGTCCTTGGGTCATGGTCCTCATGCTGTATGCCTCTCCCTAGCTGGGATGGCGGGAATGCCTCACCATGCCTGGCCTTTTGTAGGCTTCCTGAATAGCTGGGATTATAGGATTGTATACTAGGATTATACACCTGGAATGGCGGTGATTTCTTCACTACACACTGAGAATTTCTTTGAGCCTTTAGGTTATTCCTCCGTTATGAAAAACTTCATTGTTTTCTCAGTTTTCCCATTTTCCTACAGAATATGTTTTTGGAGATCCTTTGTCTAACAGTTGAGATTTGTTCAAAGTGAGAGGTTAGGCATTTCATTTTAATTTTTTCCGCATTGAATATCCATTTATTCCAAGTGTTCAGCTAGTAAACAGTCTTTACCAAGTACTCAACATACATTTTGTACAATATACCTACCATTCTATTATGGGTTAGATAAATTATGGACTAGTACTATGCTAGGTACTATTCCTGTTTATTCATAAATCTGATTTATTGATCTCCCTCTCCATTCCATTAGTCTGTTTGATGAGTTCATACTAATATTATACTGTTAGTTATTGTTTTATATCTTGACTAGAGTTCTAGAATATATAAGAGAAATTTGCCTTTTTCCTTTAGGAATTTGCTTATTATTATTTTCATAAAACTGTATCCAGTGGAATATCATGAAATTTTATTTGTCATCACATTCAATTCATAGATTAATTTTGAGTTAGCTTTTAACCTTTTATAAATTAGATTCTTTAATACATAGGGTTTTTTTTTTGAAGTTTTGCATACTAAAATTTACTACCTTGACTTAAGAATAACTAATCAAAGCAAAACATTCCAGTGCTCTACATTATGAATGTGTAAATACTATAAAATGCTATCAAAGGGTCTTTTTTTATTTGCTAAAATCACCACTAAGTAGTTTACTAATACAGTTAATTCTTATTTCACCATTTAAATAGCCAGAAAGCTGAAATAAACTGAATATTTAATAGCTGTAATAAATGCTGATAATGTTCATGGACTACATCGATCAAGCATTCAAAATAGCTTCCTATGTTGGAAGGAAACATCCTACTTTTTTGTCCCAGTTCCATTTTCTCTTTATTATTTATTGATCAGTAGACATTTAAAACCAATCAGCATTTACAGAGAAGCAAGGCAGGTAACCTTTTGTGTATATCTTCTTTTTCTTCAGAAACTGCCCTTGGTGCACTAGCAAGAGTCCTAAGAGAAGACTGGAAACAGAGTGTCGAGTTAGCCACAAACATAATCTATATCTTTTTCTGCTTTTCCAGGTAGGTATAAGAACTGTAATATATCTAGTCTGAATTGATGTGTGTATATCACTGGCTCAGTGATACACTCAGTCTTGGCTGTGCTGTGTGCTGACCTTTGAGCAATATATTACTCCTGTTGCTGATTCTCTATCATTTTCAGTTATTCTTGTTTTTGGTCTGTATTCACTCTTGCCTCTACACACACACACACACACACACACACACACACATACACACACACGCACGCACACACGCATACACACACGCATACACACACGCACGCACACACGCATACACACACACACACACACACACACACGAGGACTTGGTTCAATGAGTCAAGAGCTTGAGGATAGCTTTTGGGAGGACTGTCTCAATTTGCATCCTCCTATTTAACTATGTGATCTTGGTTATTCTACTTATGCCTCAGTTTCTTCATGTATAAAATTTAGATATTAATAGTGTCCTTCATATAGATTTTAAAGTTAAATGATTAAAATTTAAAATTCTTAGAGTATTTAGTAAATGCTTTTGTTTTATATATGCATACCTGTCCAGAAACAAGCACATACATGCTATATATTATGTGTCGGATTTAATCACATTTGTATTTCAATAATACTTTATGAATTTTGTGCATATTTTTAGGATATATATGGACACATATACATATATATGGTATGTGTGGACAGTAGACAGGTATCACGTCAGTGTAATTAGCATTTCTGTTTCCTTCAGCGTTTATCATTTCTTTGTGCTGGGAATGTTTGAACTCTCCTCTTCCAGTTCGTTATAAACATAGATTGTGAAATGTTGTAGACTATAGCAGTTGTGCAGTGTTATAGAACATTATTAGGCCTTTTCCTATGTGTTTGGCACCTGTGTTCATCCTGCCTCCTCCCCTCCTCTTGGCCCTTCTAAACCTCTAGCAACCACTACTCTACTCTCTACCTAAATGAGAACAACGTTTTTAGCTTCCACATACAGTCAAGGACACGTGGCATTTGTCTTTCTGTGCCTAATTCATCTCATCCAGTTCCATCCATGTGGCCAGATGGCAGGATTTCATTCTCTTTCTGACTAAATAATATTGTATCTAAACATTTATATATTCTTTTTTTTTGTGTGAAAATACTGTACAATTACATGGGCAAGATAATGAGTACATTTCTTATCAAGCATTGTAGCCTCCTCCTTTGTTTCCCCTTCCCATCCCTTCCCAGCCTCCCCCTGCCCCCCTAAACATTTATATATTCTTAAGAGGCATGATATGAAGAATGTCTAGCCAATTTCTAAAGACTATTACCTCTGTTCTAAAAATGTGCCAACATTAGCAATTAAATATTTTTTGGAATATTTGGAATGATTATTCCTTGGAATAATTATCAAACATGTAAAACCTGGTCACTGGTCGCTAATATGTTACAGGTTTATTTTCTGTTGTTACTTTTGTTGTTGTTGTTGGTCGTGGGCTTGAACTCTGGGCTTGGGCACTATCCCTCAGCTCTTCAGCTCAAGGTGAGCGCACTACCGCATGAGCCACAGCACCACTTCTTGTTTTCTAGTGGTTTATTGGAGATAAGAGTCTCACGGACTTTCCTGTCCAGGCTGGCTTTGAACGGTGATCCTCAGATCTCAGCCTCCTGAGTAGCTAGGATTACAGACATGAGCCACCAGTGCCCAGCTGTTGTTAATTTTATATAGTAAATAAAATGTGCCTCTAATGTTGTTACATTATTAATTTTACTAGACAGTAGACTGAAATTTCATCATAGGCTAGCTCAGGAGTTATAATTGTTAATAATAAAAATGTATTCAATTCTTAAAATTAATAATACTTAAAGGAGGTATGTTAAAACTTATATAAACATATATATGGTTATAGATATATACACATATATGTATAAATATCGTATACATATGTATATAATTATACTATGGATATGTTAATCTATATATTTTATACATGGGTGTGCCAGTGTTTGCTGAAACTAAATTTTCTATATCAACAAAATATATGCCACTAATTATATATTATAATTTCTTCTTTAAAGCTTTTCTCAGTTTCATGGACTTATCACTCACTATAAAATTGGAGCTCTGTGTATGAATATCATTGATCATGAGTTAAAGAGACATGAGCTCTGGCAAGAAGAACTCTCTAAAAAGAAGAAAGCTGATATCCTTTTAGAGTTCTGTTTCTGTCATTTTTTTTTGTTTTTAATTACTAGTTACATTGCATGGAATCACGCAAGAATGTGTTTAAAGTTAATGAAGATTAAAACAATCAGGTTGTTATCTCTGTCATCTCTACAACCATGATTAATGAGACAGTAGTTGATAACTGCATGAATCTCAAAGTGGCTACTCTGTATCGCTTGCTCTTAGGAAGTGCCACTAGCTACTGCTACTTAGGTCCTTCGCAAGCACAAAGACTTCTTTGATAGGAATGGATACACATTTTGTGTTGAAGCTAGCCTAAGCTTTTGTCGGGCAAGATGTATTTTTCTACTTAAGTGCAAAAAAAAGTGAGGATTTATTTTTTTTTTGTAGTTAAATTTAGGACCTGTGCTTGAAGTCAATGTTTGTTTATACCTTTTGAAATGAAAACATTATTCCTGTTGAGAGAGTATAACACATGGTTGACCTTTCATTTATGGAAAAAGTGGATCTTATTCTTCACATTTTTCTCTTTTAACATCTCTAGTTTGAACAGGAAGCCAAGACCTCTTAGATTGAATCTGCGCCCTTTGAATGTTCTGGGCATGTGTTTAAAGTAAAAGTTAGTGTTCTTAGTGTTCTAAGTCTCTTCATGGCAATAATCTTGTGCATGGGTCCACTTGGTAATCTTTTGAAAGTTACAGATTTCCCATTTTACACAAAATACTCGCATAGGATTTCTAAGAATCCAAGTATTAGATGAAATCCAAACATATCCTTACTTAGGCCCTTGGAAAACCCTTGAGAATGGGTCAAGATATCTGTTCTACCTCAATTATTGTGCAGAGAAAAATTTAAGTTACTAGCTAGAAAATAAAACTAGAAAAGTTGCATGTAAAACTTGAGTGCTGTTCTTCTAGATTTTTTTCAGTAGGTTTCTTAGCTTCAGTTTGTATGTATGATCCTTAACTTAAGTTTGGTTTTTGTTTTTTTACTTGATGAAGACCTTGAAAATCAGACCTTGAAAAAGGATTATGAAAAAACATTTAAAAAATACCAGGGGCTTGTGGTAAAACAGGAGCAGCTACTGCGAGGTATGAATTCCTAAACTAATAGAAAATCCAGAAAGTATTTGTTATATAAATGCTTGGTTCCATTTTTGTCACACCAGTGAGCTAGTGAGCTAATATGAGAATAATGGAAAGTTAGGTAAACTTTCATATGTTTCAGTTTCTTCTATCTTTAGTTTGAGTGATAATGTTTTGAATTTCACCATACGTTTTCCCTGCTTACATCTTAACTTTACTCTAATCCAGTGTGAATTTTTCAGTGATAATCTTCTGTCACTCAATATCCAGCTTACTTATAACATGATTTTTTATTGCTCTCCTAGTTCATGTAGAAAATTTCAAGATATTACTCTTGTTTAATTAAACAGAATCCCTCATCCTAAGCTTTATCAAAGGATGTAAGACTCCAATATATGGTTTCATAGACATTGATAAGATGCAGTCTTGTGATGGTGAAGATGATGAGGGTCTCAGCCCCTGGCTGGTGCTCTGCCAGGGGCTTTTAGTTTAGCTCATTGTTCATTTGATAATATTTTGTGCATGGAAATATTTGTTTTCTCCCTAAATATTTTTATTGCCTTATAAATATTAAAGCTTAAAACTACATTGAATTTTTTGAAGATTTGGGGTTGAATATTTTAGCTCAGAATGTTGGAGAAGATGCCAGATTTTCAAAGTTGTATGTGTATGTGTACATATGCTCTGTCAATCAAGGTAAAATACCTATTATATAATATTTAGTAACTAATGGGAATAATTAAATGAGTTTCCTCTAAGAAACTAAGCATATTTATTACAGGGATCTAAAAGAAATTTTACTTTAGAACTAGTAGACATGAACCTCAACTATATTGGCATAGCAGCTGTATTACTGAACTTCATATACCCTTTTCTTATAGTGACTAACCAAGTCAGTTTAAACATAAAAATAGATTTTGGTATCTCAAATATTGTTCTAGGTATGCTGTATTTTTTCATTATAGCTCTTAACAGAGCAGCCTTTAGTTGAAATCTTATGATAACTTATTTTCTGAACATGTAAAATTATTATTCCCTGTTTGTTTTATGATTTATCTACCTTTAGTTGTCATTTGATGACTGTTGAAGCTCTAAGCTGCAAGAGAGTAGGAACCATTGTCTTATTTGGGTTGTAATATCCTCAGCACCACAGTAATGAATATTATTTACATATTCTTATATATACCCATATGCCTATGCATGAATATATATTGTAACAGTAAAAATTGCAAATTAATATAAAACCTGTTTTGAACTTTATCTGTTATCTTGGTGGATAATGATTTTTTAAATTGTTGATTCAGTATGTCACTTAACTCTCCTATTTTACTTTTCTAGTTGCTCTTTATTTGCTTCTAAATCTTGCTGAGGATACTCGCACAGAACTGAAGATGAGAAATAAGAATATTGTTCACATGCTGGTGAAGGCTCTTGATCGGGACAATTTTGAGCTGCTCATTCTCGTTGTATCATTCTTAAAGAAACTCAGCATTTTTATGGAGAATAAAAATGATATGGTAACTTTCAAAGCTTCTTTATACAGACCAGCATAGCCATATCCATATTAAGATATTCTGATAAAAAGTAAACATTTACCCTTCTCCTAAGGTAAATCTGAAAGAAGATTTTACAGTAGCCCTAACAGCTATAGCCTCTAGAAATTTCATTTTTAAAATGGTGAGGGACCAAGAAATGGTGGCTCATGTTTGTCAGACTGGCTACTTAGGAGGTGAAGGCCTGGAGGGTCTAGGTGTAAGACCAGCCCAGACAGAAAAGTCTGTGAGATTCCATTTCCAGTTAAACAACAGAATGCTGGGATGGATGTAGCTCAAGACAAAGCTGAGTGAGGAAAGCACAAAGCTCTGAGATAAAGCCCTGGGACCAGCACATGCATACACATGCGCACAAAGTATAGAGTTGGATAGTCCATTTATAAAGTTGTATTATCCATTTAAAGGTTTAGTTATTTGTGCTATTGATGTGAACTACCGCTGTTTTACTTTTTAGACAGATATTTAAAAATAAATATGTACCTGAAATATTCTCTCAATTAGTGTTTAAGTTATATCATATTACTTATATAATTTTGATTATGTCCACATAATAAATTATTAATATAACAAAAAGTGAATCAATGCAATTATCAGAGGGACAACAGAGAGGCTATATGGTTACATAGATTGCTGATTTTTCTTACTAATAATTCTTGAGAGTTTTTCTATATTTTTGATGCATCGCTATCCCTTTTATCAGTCATGTTTGCAAGAATTTTCTTTCTTAGTGGCTTGCCTTTTGATTCCCTTATCCTGTAAAGAGCATAGTTTTTAATTTTGATAAGTCCAGCATAAAAATGATTTTAATTGAGTATATTTTACTATTGTATTTAAAAAATCCTTGTTTGACTTACATTCATAAAGAGTTTTTTCCTGCATTTTGTTTAAGTAGCTTTATGGGGAGAGGTTTTTGTTGTATTGGATCCATTTGTTTTGAGTTAAGTTGGAATGTGGTATAAGGTATGGGTTAAGATTCACTTTTAAATATAGAAGTCCATTTTAGTTCAGTTCTGGTGTCCTTTTGTTAAAAACTTACTTACTTTCATCATTGAATTGCCTTTCAACCTTATCAAAATTGTACTTTCATTGAAAAGCAATTGACCATACCTTAGTGGTTCTGGTTTTAGATACTGTCTTCTGTTCCTTTAAACTGTATTTCTTTTCACCAACACCTCTTTCTCCTAATTACTGAAGCTTTATGATAAGGTAGTATGGAGCCTCAGGGGCTACTATTTTTCAAAAATTATTGTGGCAAGTCTATATTCCTTGTAGTGTATACAGAAACCTGAAGTAAAAAAAGGTTTTCTTTGTAAAAATGTATGTTCTGGAAGTGGTGCTGTGGCTCAAAGTAATAGAGTGCTATCCTTGAGTGAAAGAGCTCAGGGTCAGTGCCCAGGCCCTGACCAAAAAAAAAGTATGTTCTTACAATGTCATGGCATGACAGGAAAAAAATAGAGTTCTATTATTAATGTGATTTTTTTGCAAGGCGAGTGGGAAGTTGCAAGAAGCATATGAAAAACACAATATACATAAATGTTTTAGATTTCCAGTAAAAGGAAAAGTGAAATGATTAATGACTTTGCTGTCATCAAAGAATGAAATTATATAGAATTTCTCTTTTTAGCATTTACTGTATATTATTTACTCTATTATTAGCATTTACTCATATTAAAGATATGAGATGTTTTTATAAATTTGTTTTTGATAGCTACCTTTAAAGGCTTAATATTGGGTCTCCATTGACAAATTAATAATTGGTAATGCCCCCTGTAATTCTCACTGCATAGTGTTAATAGGTATGTTGATACAAATGTATAGAAAATCTATACAAGTCTTTCGTAAAATGAACAGATAGCATTCGAGGTCTGGCAGGTCAGCTAGCCTCTGTGGAGCTGCCCAGATCTCCCACTGCGGTAGAGCCCATAAGCCAGAGAGCGTGTTTCCCCCACCAGTAAGTCAGATGGTGGGCCAGACCAGGCCCACTAGCTGAGGTCTGCTGGTCTGCTCTAATGTTGTCGTAAGAAGCCCAACTTACAAGATTTACAGCTGTCCATTGACTGTCATCTCAAAGTAAGCATGACAGAATTTCAGATAATTCTTCACCCTCATTTTCCTACTTATTAGCATTCTTCATTAACTGAAGAAAAGGGGCTAGAGATTTCCATTTCTATGTTATCAGGGAATGTGGATCTCAGAAATGTTCCAACTGGGGCTGGGAAGATGGCTCAGTGGTAGAGCGCTTGCCTTGCATGCATGAGTTTGATTCTCTGGGTTCGATTCCTCAGCACCACATAAGCAAAAAAAAAAAAAAAGCCGGAAGTGGCGCTGTGGCTCAAGTGGTAGAGCGCTAGCCTTGAGCTGAAGAGCTGAGGGACAGCGCCCAGGCCCAGAGTTCAGGCCCCATGACCAGACCCCCCCCCACACACACAACAACAAAAAAAAATGTTCCAAACTTTGAAACTACTTTGACCACATCAGCCCTTGGTAAGTGACCTTGTCATTAAGGACACTCTCCTATAGAATAACATCTGAACATTTAGCAGAGTATTAAAAGCCTTCCTTTGTAATCTAAAACTGTCTTGATGCTTCTGCCAATCCTCACATACACTTTATATCCTGATTCCTCAATAAACTCCTTTATTGTTAAACACCCATTCATTAGCTTTTCTACATCCTAGATGGTCATTCCCTTTCTCTCTTCTTTTCTTCCCTTTTTTCTCTCTCTCCCTCCCTCCCTCCCTCCCTCCCTCCCTCCTTTCCTTCCTTCCTTCGCTTCTTCTACATAGGTTAATGCCTTCTTCCATATTGTATGCAGAGTTCTTTTGTGCATTGAATTTTTATCAGATTGTCTATTTTCAATCACATAGTACATTCATTGTCCTACTTGTTCATTCTTACTAGAATAAGGGACCCTTAAAGGCCAAGATGAGCTTGTGTTTGATCTTGTTCAAGGTCTGGTAGATAGTGGGTGGTGTTAATTATTATATTATTTTCAAGGATCAGATGTCATTTGTCTTTCAGTTGATGAAGCCAAATACGGGAAGGAAGGGATAACGGAGATATTCCCCTCAAAAATTTGATCTCAGAAAACTTTACATATTGAAATAAAACATAAAATTAATTCATCATTACAGAGAGCATAGATATTCATTAAGTAAATACAAAGGAAAGTAATTATTTGTAATCTTTTGTGTCTTATTTTGTAATAGAACCTCAGTGCATTTTATCATTTTACATAGGTAGAAATGGATATTGTTGAAAAACTGGTAAAAATGATACCGTGTGAGCATGAAGATCTCCTGAATATCACCCTCCGGCTTTTACTCAACCTGTCCTTCGACACAGGACTAAGGAATAAGATGGTACAAGTTGGACTTCTTCCAAAGCTCACTGCACTCCTAGGTATGCTTTTGGAAAATTAATGATAATGAAATTTCATTGGAAAATTAAGATCTGTGTTCAAAAGCCTTCCGAACAAAAAAGTCTTCTGGGCCAAGTGTGGTGTGGCACACATATAATACCAGGAGGTAGAAATAGGAGAGTTGTGGTTCAAGACTAGTCCAGACCAAAGCTAGCCAGACCCTATCTCAAGATCAGCCAGAAATGGTTGACACATCCATAATCCCAGTTGCTTGGGTAAAGTAAGAGGATGGCAGTCTTTGTACCATGTAAAATCATGCAGCTCATCTGCAAAGCAACTAAAAGCAAAAGGACGTAGATGTGCCTTGAGTGTCCAAGTGCTTACCTAGCAAGTGTAAGACCAGTTTCAATCCCCATCACCCCCGTCCCCAAAAATGATTTCTAGGAAATTACTCACATGATACTCACTGCATTATTTGTTAAACAAGTAGTAAATCTGAGGATATAAGTTTCTAGAGCTCAATTTGCAGAGTCTATCTTACTAGAATTATGATTGTTTACTTTTAACCATATAACCTTGAACAGGTTACCCAAAGCATTTGTTATTTGGTTTTCTTATCTCCAAAATGATGTAATAATCACCTAAAACTTAGAGAGTTCATTTTAATATTAAAGTATTGCATACAAAGTGCTTAGAACAATACCTTATAGGCATATAGTATTTCCTTAATAAGTTTTAGCTATTGTCATTTTCTTTAATGTCATCATCATCTGGTACACTGTTTTTACCCTTTGGTGAGATCGTGATTCTCTGAAATGTCTTGGTGTGTGCTTGAATATAGTGGATGTCTCACCTTCATTCTTGAAATCTGGTAATGAGCTTGTCCTTCCATGAAGTCTAGAGCTTATTTTCTCCAAGTCTGTGGCCACTGCTGCCACTTTACCACTAGATGGCACCACAAACCCAGTTTTCTGGTGAATCCCCCCTTGGTGTATTGTCACTGTGTCTGCTCTAGGGGAAGCCCAAACCCCAGGTCTGAGCCTGGACAATACAAGAGTCTGAAAAAAATAGTTACTATGAGCCCCAAGCAGACCCCCGGTGATTATCTGTGTTTGCCAGCCTGCGTTGAGGTTCTTCTGATATTCTGTCACTTGGACTCGCCATGGAACGCTTAATCTTGAATTTTAAAGCAATTACTTGTTCCCATCTCTTCCTCCTTCCCTCAAGGACACAGTGATTCTCGGCTGTTTCGCCTGGGGAGAGGGGTGTGATGGGGTTGGTGGTCTTCGGCCACCTACACTGCAGTGCTGGGCTGCAGTGGTGAGAACTGGGGCTCCGGGCAGGACCAAAGCCCGGACTGGGATGGTTTGCCCACTGTTCTGGAGAACCTGTGCCTGAGCCTCGGGGACTGGGATGGTTTGCCCACTGTTCTGAAGTCCCTGTGCCCCAGCCTGGGCAGGCAGCCCCAGGTCCAGCCCTCTGGAGTCCTCGGCCCCCTCGAGGTCCTAGGGCATATTCAGACGCTCTGTCCATAGGCACTGGGTATGGTCATGGGCAATTTGGATGCACTGGTGTCACGCTCCACCAGGCTCCACCAGCTTGGCACTGAGATTCAAGGCAAAGTCCTTTGCTTATTACCTACCCTGCCTCCTAGAAACTGGATTCTTCCCCTGTGCCACACTGCACAGAGTTGAGGAAGGGTTGTGAAGCAGCTCCTGGCCACTGGACCCATGTCATCCAGAGGGTCCATCCAGGGGAACGGGTCTGGAGATGGCATGCAGAGTACAGGGTTTCAAGTTTAAGACCTGAACTTAATGGAAGCGTTCTTTTCATGCTGAGTTGGTTCGGGCTGGGGGAGTATGACACAGGCAACTTTCCGCCCTGCCTTCCTCGTGCATCCTTCTTTATTGTATGCTAAAAGCCATACCTGGTCCTTAACACTTGTGAGGGTGGTTTCCTGTAGGAATAGCTGTTAAGATGACTGCGCTTGTGCACAGGGAGACGGTCATTGGAGGATCTTGCTCTACCACCGTCTTGGTTTGACTTTGGTAAGGAACCTAATCCCATATACAGGTCTCTGTCCCCAGGGTATATTCACCCCCCCCCCAACATGGATTATGTTTCTGAATTCGGGGAACATAACCAGTCAGTAGCAGGGTCTTTAAAAATATATCTTTATTTTTTAATACATTTTTATATTTATTTTTCAACTGATAAGATTTTTTTCCAGTACTGGGAACTGAATGAACCCAGGACTTCTCAACTGCTAGACAAACACTTTGCCATTAGAACTATGTCCCTAGCCTCTTTCAGAAACCTGAAATTTTTATGAAAGCACCATAGCATTGTGATTAAAATCATGGGTTTCGTAAACAAGCTGAAGTGCTGTGTGTCTCTCGTTCTTTATGATCATTTATTCACATTTGCAGTGGTGAGGGTAATATACAAGTCTGTGAGCGAGTATTACTGTGTTCTAGAATTTCAAATGTCCACATGGCTCCAGAATCTTTAGAACCCATGAAGTCATAGCATTTATAACTGCTATATATTTTCCTTTGTTTTATTTTAAATTATTTATATACTATGTATGTTACATATATTAACATATAATTTTAAAACAGTCTTCTGTTTTAACTCCAATTCTCTGGCCAATACTCTTTTCCTGGGGCAGCAGTAGTCTCTGCATTGTCTCCTGCTCAGGCTCTTGCTCAGGGAATCTCCTTTCTATGCTGTATCCTCAGGTGTTTGCTCACATATTTCATACAAATGTGCTATTGTTTCTTCCATCCTAAGACATTGTTCGTAATTCTCTCATCTTCCATCTATGATGTCATTTCTCTGCTCATCATCTCCCGGGCACCATGCTTCCTCTCATCTTCCATCTATGATGTCATTTCTCTGCTCATCATCTCCCGGGCACCATGCTTCCTCTCATCTTCCATCTGTGATGTCATTTCTCTGCTCATCATCTCCCGGGCACCATGCTTCCTCTCCCCTTCGTACTCATTCTCACCTTTCCGTTCTCCCCATGTCTGCCTGTCTCCCTCTCCTCTCCTCTTCCTCCTTGCTCCTCTCATTTTCTTTCCCTACCCTCATTGTACTTCACACTTCTAACCTCCACTTTGCTAAAGCAGTGGTCAGTTCCCTGTACTCACACATTGCTCAACCTATCAGCAGCATTTGCTACAATATCTTCCTCCCCTAACTTTATACATTTGTTTTCCTGGACACAGTACTTTTGTGGTTTACCTTTCCAGTGCTTAGACCTTTCACTTTCCTCTTCTGCTTCCCTCTCATCTCTCTCATCTACAGGCATAGAATGCACATCAGGTTTTACTCCTAGAACTTTTCCCTCTATTTGTATTTATTGTCTTGGTGTCTTCCTCCATTCCATTTAAATACTCTGCCTATACTGATAACTCCCAAGCAGAAACATAATCCCAGCTTCCTCTCTGATTTTTACTCCAACATTACCATTTGGAAGCTTTATTAGCAGCTCAGATTTAGTAAATTTAAACATTAGTCTCCTGATCGCCACCCTACCTTTACCTAATTCCAGTATTTTCAGTCTTCTTAGCTCAGTATATAGTAACATCATCTTTCTAGTTATCTAGACCAAAACTCAGGGCCAGGTGACAGGAAGAGCAGACATTATTCTTGACTGCTGCCTTTCTTCCCAACTTACATGTGGTTTGTTGGGTAATCTAGTCAAAGCTTGTCTGTAGACTATTACTGCTTCTCCCTGGTCCCAGCCACCTTCCTGTTTCCTGATTTAATATTGTAGCATTCATCTGAGCTGTGTTTATACCCTTGCCTCAGATTCTTCTTAACATGGCACACAGGTATCAAATTTAAGTTAATTAAGAAACAAAGAACTCCCACTCATCTGGTAGAACCACTACTAAATATCCCCATGCTGCTGATCACATGTATGGTGTATAACATGTGAACACTGTTATATGTTATAGACTAGTGATAGACAATTTGCTCCAGGAAAGTTAGAATGAACTTGTGACTTTAAATGAGTATCATTATTCCACAATACTGAAATTCCAGAAATTATGTAATCACTTAATCACAATCAAAAAAAAAAAAAGAAGCCGGGCGCTGGTGGCTCACGCCTGTAATCCTAGCTACTCAGGAGGCTGAGATCTGAGGATCGTGGTTCAAAGCCAGCCCGGGCAGGAGAGACCGTGAGACTCCTATCTCCAATAAACCACCAGAAAACTGGAAGTGGCGCTGTAGCTCAAGTGGTAGAGCGCTCGCCTTGAGCTGAAGAGCTGAGGGACAGCGCCCAGGCCCAGAGTTCAAGTCCCACAACCAACAAAAAAAAAAAGAACCTCAGGGAAGGTAGGGAGGGAAGGGATGGTAGGGGGAAAACAATGGAGGGGGTAACAATGTTCAAGAGGAAGTGTTCTCTTTACCTCACTCATGTAACTGTAACCCTCTGTATAGTATCTTTACAATAAAAAAAATAAAAAATAAATTTAAGTTAAATCTCCATCCATCCTCTGGTGACTTCTCATAATGCTAGCCTGTCTCCTCACCACTGTAACACACATTCTGGTGCTCTGGCTAAGGGAATATGGGCCTCACTGCTATTCCTTGAACTCAGCAGGTAACCCTGCTATTTCTACTGCCCAGAATATGCATAGGCTTATTGCTTTCTTTTGATGTGTTAGTAATGGGGCTTGAACTCAGGGCCAGGACACTGCCCCTTAGCCTTTTTTGCTCAAGGCTGGTGCTCTACCATTTGAGCTATATCTCTACTCTGGCTTTTTGGTGGTTACTTGGAGATAAGCATCTCGTGAACTTTTCTACATGGGCTGGCTTCAAGCCACACTTCTCAGGTCTCAGTCTGCTGAGTAACTAGGATTATCGGCGTGGGCCGTCAGTGCTCGGCTCATCTCGAGTTTTTGTGTGGCCTTTCGCCTCATCTCTTTTGGTCTTTGATGTTTGCTAGGCTATTAAAAATGTAAACATTAGGTCCTGATGTTCATTTTACCATTTTCCTATTTCACTTTTCCCCATAGTACTTACT